GCCGACCTAAATTAGAAAATTTAGAAAATGATGATATTGATGTTTTTTTTTTTATAGTTTCCCCTCACGGTTAAACCACCATGAGGGGGAGTTTATTAAATTATTATGGTACATTCTGCTATTTGATACAGAAATATTTGAGTGCGTTATGTGTTATTAAATTCTTTAAGTGTGTTAACTATAAGGGTGAGGTGAGTCATAAAGGTATGGGTGGCGGTGTTGTATAATAACCAATTCAGTCATTCAATTAATTATCAATAATAACAAAATTCCATTTATAAACAATATAACAATACTAGATGTTTTTAAACCTGCAAAACGTCTAGCAACTGAGATATCTATAGCTTATGAAGAAATTCACAGTCTTCACAGACAGCCACGTTCACGTCATAAATACGAAAGCTCAGATTTAGTAGGCTTTCATCGGGGAATGTACGAGATGACCGATAATAAATATTAGTGAGATAAAACGATTGGCACAATATTGAACATTTTTATTAGACGAGATATCAAAATGGGGGAAATTTGTCTTCTTTTATGTGTGTGTTATTATTGTATTGTTAAATACATATAGAAAAATCTGAATAAATGTTAATAATCTGCTACTTGTTTGTAAAAGTAATACATAACATTATTTATATCATTTATTATAAATATGTTATTATTTTTTATATTAAGAAAAGAATTAAATTGAATTATCTCGTTGTCTTTTATTTTCTTTTTTAATATTAGAAGTAGTCTCATTAAAATCTGTAAAACTGACTTATTACAGTTTCTACGATTAAATATTTTAAATATTAATATTCTAAAAAAGATAATTATTAATTTTGAAAATATTAATTTATTAATCGTTTATTGTTGGGTTTAGGTTTTTGGGATTTTCGACTTAACCATATTTCATAAATATTGCGATTTGACTTTAATCTTTGACACACAAACAAAATATAGAGTTAGATAGTAAATAATAAATCTTTTTAAAAAGAAGTTGAACCGGCTTTAAACAATACAAACAAAGAGAACTAAAAATCTAGCAGCAATCGCGGTTGATTTGCCGTCATTTTTTGGAGAGTTCCGTTGTCTGTGTCCGAAATTACTTAATGATCAGTTCTATATGAAATTTAAATGGGACCATTTCGGTATAAACCCCTTTCGAATAAAAAAGAATTTAGAAAAACCGTCTGTGTATGACAGATACCGTATATACATTAAAAAACCGAATGGATAACCTCCTCTTTGAATTCGGTTAAAGACGAACCTATGCTGGCCACACCTACCTCCGGTTGGTAAAGGATTAAGAATACATAGTGTCACCACGCCTGTTTATCTCGTGGGTGTCGTAAGAGCCGATTAAGGGAGCAAACTTCGCACAACGATAGTATTGCAAAGAGAAGAAAAACTTGACATAAACCCTATACCAACCCGTCTGGTCAGCGTGGTATGTATTTCTGACGACTGAAGACTGGACATGGGTCTCTACCCATGTCCAGTCTTCGGACTAAGGCTGTTGATGTATGATGTGTGTGTGACACCTGCCTCAACTAACATTGTACTACACAACTGCGTCCTGTATTAATTTTATAAACTCCAATCTATATTTGATCAAATACTTAAAACGTGAAACCCGTAATTTCATATTCAATCTTAAACATTCAACCAGCCTTAACGGTACTAACGCCGATTCTAGCCATCTTAGCCATTTCAATCATAAATATATATATGTAGGTTCTTCTATATTCCTATCACGCACACCACCGTTGTAATTGGAATTCTCTGGGAGATTGTGATCTTATGAACGTAGATCTACGGCACATAAATCACGAGAGGATGCCTTTAAAATTATAACGATGTTAATGCCAGATTATTGGGTTTGGGGTGAGAGTTGGTTTGCCGTTCCCAAGTTTTCGTCGAAGATATTACTGATAATAATATTAAAGTAATTTATTAACCGTTAAAAAATAGGATGCAAACGGAGAATTTAATATTTAGTATTTGTATTGCAAGGGTAATGTGCACATAGTGAATATACTAAGAATTATATAAAAGTATAGACAACTGACCCAGCTCAATGTACTTTCAAACTAATCAGTCAATCAGAGCTTGTATTCTGAAAGCTAGATTGACTGATAGAATACTAATATACTTTTTTACACCCAAACTCCGAAACAAATGTTTGCAGATCATATAAACATTTGGTCCGACCGGGGAATCGAACCCCCTTAGCACTGGAGTCGCACTCAAATATGTGGTTGTTTAGATGCTCGTGCTAATATTTTTAAATTCTACGATTGATGGCTACTAATCACTTTAACTTATTTACATTTGTAAGTTCAGGGCAGACAGGCACTCGTGCCCTGTAAAATTATTGAACGGATACTTATTATTATAAAATGATCTTGAATTTTGTGCTGGTGTTATTAGGAAAAAAACTATTCTTTTATTATAATTGAGGTCTTTTCACATTTTCTTTCTCATAAATATAGTATTAAGTAGTAGTACCATGCTGCCGGTTATGAGCGGTATTATTGTAACACGTTACGCTTGTCCCGCTTGTCACGTTACGTGTTGTGGTTTTTTTTATAAACGATTGTAAATATGTGGCATTTATTTATCATTAATTTCATTTATAAAATAATGACCAGTAAATAAAATTTTCACTTTACTTCCATGTGACGGTAACGAAACGGTCAAGCCACATATTCTGACTAAGGTGTAGAGTTTTTGAATTTAGGGCTTGTAGAGTTAGAAGCTTGGCTCTACAAGGGATATGATAATTTTTGATAGTGTGAGCCATATGGTCTCGCCTTGGAAACATTTTACATGAAAATGTTTTTGGTGGGCTTTCCCTTCTTTTTGTAATCTGCTCATGACAACGTTATTTTCTTAATTTTTCCTTTTTTTGTGGGATATGTTTCTGGTGCAACAGATATACATTTTTTATAGCCCACTCTCTATCTTCACCTTTTTTCTTTGTTATATCAATTTTCAGACCTCTACCTTTAAGTGGTTGTTGGCGTAAAAGTTCCAAGTTTTAGAATTTTGTTTGTTGTTTGTACTAATACCAGCTTATATACCAGAATATCAGCTTTATAGAACTTCAGAAAGTACCCTAAGAATTTTGATGTTCATCAGTAAGTCAGTAAAGAAATCGAAGGAGCTACTATTGAAATCATTTTCCTAGAATTTTGTTTTTTTTATAATCCAAACTGAAGTTAAGAGGGTATAAAAAAACGACGAAGCTCTTCGAGAAAAGGTACGAGTAGATAGGGCGTTTGCCCTTCGCTGGGATCATCTTGGTGGGGGCACTACCGTACCTCCAGATACTTCCGATGATCTCTACAGTAAAAGAATGTCATAGTACGGTAAGAAAAAGGTAAAGCCTTGTTAGGTAATTTTTTGTGCCTACATACAAGAACAAAAAATACCCAACAAGGGTTTGCCGTATTTTTTAAAGAAAGCTCTAGAATTTTATACTTTAAATTTTCTGATTACTAACTTCAAAAGCTCTGTGTATATATAAGGGATAAACTTAAATAAATGACTGGCCTGTTGGTCAAGTGGTTAGTGCCCCTGACTGCTAAGCCGGAGGTCGTGGATTCGATTCCCACCCAGGACAAATATTGTGTGATGAGCATGATCATTTGTTCTGTGTCTGGGTGTAATTTATCTTTAATATTTATGTATTTAAAAAAAAAAAAGTATGTTTATCAGCAGTCTGGTCACCATAGCACCGGCTCTGCCTAGTTTGGGATCAGACGGCCGTGTGTGAAATGTGTAAGGTATATTATAAATAATACATACATACGTACAGTATAATCTTCTTTATTCAGTTATTCAAGTGAAATATAAACGACTCTCTTCCAAACAGTAAAATGAATTCTATTCAAATGTTGAAAACATACAACATACATCATTAACAAATAAACAATTACAGGCTAACAGAAGAAAAAAAATCACCTTCATTTTTTAAATTGCAGTTATTGAAGTTCAAAGAAATTATGTACACTTTAGGCTCTATGATGTAAGAAACACTAACAATTCAAGTACTAATCTATGTTTACATTATATCAGTTTATATAAATTAATTTACAAACATACAATTATATTATAAATATGTAGAACATTATTTATCTTAAAGTTACAGTTTTCACAACGAAAACAAATTAGTATATGCTTTAAAAACACATTCTATTCTAGTTAAGTCTTTTTAATAACAACTTAAAATAGATCTGTAAACAATATTTTCTACTGTAACATTAATTATCAAATAGAAACCAGTTTTATTTCCTTGTCAAAATACAATGACCTTTTGATGTAATCATACTTAGTTTTTTTTTTAATGGTACAAGTTGGTAAGTAATCTACATATATATTATATTTATTCTATACAGCGCCATGGTTCTATTTTTTACAATATATAGCTTAGCATATTATTGATTTGTGTTACATTGAAACGATGATTATTTTAATTAAGAGAAAATATTCATCAATTTACTAATTAAGATCCAAATACGTTGTCTCCTATACGGCCCGCTCAATGGTCAATAAACTGTATTCACAAATTAAAACAGTAAATTTTTATAAGGGTCTACTTGATTAACACCGACATTGAATGAATGTGCTACAACACCGCGCGGTCGTGTTCATAATTTGTTTATTAAATGCATTACTGAAAACTGTCCTTAACACTCTTATTTGATTTCCTTCTCTAATAGCTTGATAATACAATCCATTTTTAGCAATGTATTAACACATATGTGTTAATACATTGCTAAAAATGCATGCATACATGTATAACGCACTGTTACAACTGTAAGTTTTTACACGTTTACGAAATAAATATATGTCCATAAACAATAGGTACACTTCCCGTATTCTATACAAAATCCCTTCCCGAAATTGACAGTATTCGTTTTCACATTGTCAAGACTTTATTGAATGTCCAATTTTATCAAAATTTTATTCTTCTTTCAAATTTGTTCCAATTTGTGGTCTCATTTCAGTTACGTTTCATGCATGTTGACGTAAGGAGTAGATATGCCAACCGCTTGGCTGGAACATTGCTTCTGCGCTTGTCCCGCTTTTGGCACAAGCACCAGCTGCTCGAGATCGCCCTGTTGGCAAAATTCCTCTATTAACGTATTGAGAAAAAGCATGATAGTGAAATATCGGACACAATTATCTAAGATCTATTGCTACTTTCATATATTCATGTTCACGATTTGCGGTTCGTGTAATAATTTTGATTTTGAAATACGGATTTTATATAAATAAAGTCAACGTAAACTTAAGGGACCTTGTTTATTTATTTTTCGGTGTTTTTTAATTAAAAATAAACAAGTAATTAATACATATATAAACTCCTCTAGATAAACTGAATGTTTGTTTTAGCAGTCACGGGTTTCCATTAGTAATGTTATAGGTAGGGTTCCAAATTTATAACGATTTAAAGGAAATATTATTTTAATATAATATGCCTGTATAACTCTTAGAAAAAATGTTAATAACCATTTACCACTATACATATTGAGCTGCTCTACCATAGATCAGTTCAGTATAAAACGCTATTGAAGCAATTTCTTGTTAATAGGGTATTCTACTGTCTGAAAGAATATCTCGAAGATAAATATGAAATCGAATGGGTAACTGTTACATTACTCATAGCTTTTCTTTTAAAGACAACTTTCACAATAGGTATTTATAAACATATGAAATGAACGCAAAGAACACCCAGGCTCAGAAAAATAATTTGTGGATCACACAAAGTGATGTCATATGTGAGGATCGAACCCACAACACTTAATGCAGTACGAAGCGGCGAGGTGAGTGGTTAAACCACTACGCCATCCGTGGTTATAGCTTTATTGACTTGTATAATAAAAACAAAAACAATGACATGGATTACATAAAATTTATTATTATAAAATGTGATGACTAGCGAAATATAGTTAAACTAAATGTTTGTTCTATAATTTATAAAACTATGTAAACCAATTGTATTTACCTATATTCGCATTAAACTTTTTTAAGCTATGCTTCAAAAAAGATAATTTAAGTTACAACAATTGAAGTTCTTAAAGCTATCGGACAAAGGAAACAATTTATGTAGCATCAACAACTTAATTAAAAAATATTTCTTTACAAACGGTATTGTTTAATTGTTCTGTGTTGAATAAAATATTTCAAAGAACAAAAATATTAAAGAAAAAAAAATGTATTTCTTAAGACTCTCTGTTCAGTGTTCTTCTTCTTTAGTACAGTGGGGATAACCACTTAAACAAAAACAGAAAACAGAAGAACGTATGAAAGGATATAAAAATGAACAAACCTGAATTTTTTCATTCTTTCATTTAAGAAAAATGTGTATAACATAATATGGGACCTCAGATCTTAAATCAAATAACGAGAACGTGGATGGCTTGGCTCTAATTCTCTTTTGATCTTACAGATACCAAAATTTTAATTATTTTTTTAATGAAAGTTAACCCTATTACGTTTGCAAAAAGTTCGCGAACTCGCAAACACAATACTAAGTATTTAATTAAGTTTAATAAATAATTAATATATCTACATCATCTAAAACGTAGCAATCACGAAACATCAAATTTACCTTTAAACCCATTCTCGTACCGTCTTACCCCAATCATACATAACTGAATAGAAATTACATGACATGGCCTAAATAAATATTAGACATCCCTTTTTACGGTTCGCTTAAGATTTCGTTTAATAAAGCTGGTACTTACAGAGAAGAGATAGCCTATAATGAGATCAGCATCCCTGGGAGTGTCGAGAGCGTCTTTTTCAAGGACATCGGTGCGAAGCCAGCGACAGTCGACGTACGCACGAACTGTGTTGTCGTCATGAACACTGGGAAATGTAAAAAACTGCTATAGTGCGACCTTCATATACCAAGAAAGCTGTCATAGCACTTTGCAAATACTCCCTTAACAGAAATTTTCATAGAATTACTTTTGAGTCTGTATTTTTCAAAACAGCAACGAGAATCTTTGCTAACAAAAATCTTTTAGTATGATTAACACCAAATAACATCTATCAACTTACAAAACATTTTTTCATCAGTATTCTATAAATAACTTTTCAATACCGCAAAACCAATTTTCGAAGTAAAATATTTACAATTCTCTACGAGTATTAGGTGCGTGGTCTATACAGCTAACAAAACTAAGTAACTCAATACTAAAACTCCTTATTGAACTATTCGTGCTACCTACCGATAGGATAGGGTTATATCTCCCTTGAGATTGATAGCTTCGCTGCTCAGATCCCAACTGTGTAATTCTACATGTGTACTATCTTCAGGGTTGGTCTGATTTTTGTTTTTTATAGCAAGATAGTTGGTTTTACATTAAAAGTTTAGGAACTCTTCTGGGAATCGTACTTTTGTGGCTATATTGTGGAAAAAAATACTGAGTAGGATACGAAGTAGGAATATTGAGGAACCAATGTTGTGCTTTTACATGGAATTGGAACACAATAAGACCTTTTCTGTATATATTTGTGTTGAAATATCCAATATGTATGTGCGTGAAACAGGAGGATCTAATGTTGTGCTTTTCGTTCGCTTAAAGTGATAATTAGTTCGTCTACATCATTATGTTCAGCCTTTAATAGTTCACTGCTGGAAATAGGCCTCTCCTTAGAAAGTAGGTTTTGGTCTACAATACCACGCTGGCCAGACGAGTTGGTATAGGGTTTATTTCAAGTTTTTCTTCTCTTTGCTGAGCTGTTGTCCTGCGTAGTTAGTCCCCTTAGTTGACTGTTACGACACCCACAGGATGAACAGGTGTGGTGACCGTATTCTTAATCTATCACCACACGGTCTAAATAATTGCAATATATGTTGTAATTTAGAATTAATGTTCTAATCAGATATTTCATATGCACATAATTTTGTCGAACAAGGTACGGTAGGTAAGGAGTACATCTTCAGTTTGGCCCACCTTAGCGCCCCTTCCTTCTCGAATCAACTAAATTTGAGGTGTAGATCTATATGCGTTTATTACATATGTTTCCTTAGGGAAGATATAAACCTTAGCTTTTTTGATATCTTGATTGAGAAGGCAATGTATGAACATGAAAAATAGATTTTTATATAGACCCTTACATTATTGTGGTTATTTTTGAAACTATACTTATCTTTGAGGTAGAACTGGTATAGTAATTTGGGCTACCAATTACTGAATAAATATAATTTTAGCGAAGTGAAAGATCTTAAGATATTTTCCAACCAATTAATTTTATGCCTGTTACGAGTGAAAGAAATAAGTACTAAATACGCAATAACATTATTATTCAGAATTTTTTTTGTGGATTTGGCATTTATGTCCAATTAATGTCAAGGATTTCTGTTACTTTTTTTAAGTCTACATTTGCTGATTTTGTAAAATTTTATTAAACTAGTAGGTAGTTATACGTTAGTACGAGATATTGTCCTGCAGAGTTTGCTCCCTTAATCGGCTCTTACGACACCCTTGGGATGAATAGATTAAAAAAATCACCTATATATTTTATTGTGATAAATAATAAGTTTTGTTGATCTACTTATTGTTTTAGTTTAGAAATTCTATCTTCTACATTAGTGCTAATTCTGTTGTTCGAAAACTCTCTACACTAAACTAAGAATCACTAAAAATTTGTTACGTCTTGTCAAAAACTACGTTCTCAGAATACGAAACGTTATTTGATAGGACTAAACTAATTTTAATTGATTTTTAGTGTAGTTTAAAGAGTTTTTGAACCCATCTATTGTTTCAATTTAAATGTGGATACACATACACTAGTTCTGAATAATTACAACTTGGAAAAGAGCATTATTTAGAAGACCATTGGGCGGTACAGAAAGTTACGATAGTTATTGAGGGCACAAATGCGTATTTATGTAAGTAAGAAATTGATAAAAAAAGAAAAGTTTCAAGTCTGTTCATATACAAAGAGGTTGAATAATAATAATATTGTAAGCTCATTTTAATCAACAGCCTTTAAAATTACTGCTAGACATAGGCCTCTCCTTAGAAAAAAGCGTTTTGGCCTACTATACCACGCTGGCCAGACGGGTTGGTGTATTACTTGTGTCAAGTTTTCCGTCTCATCTTTCTTCTCTTTTTTTAACCGAGTTCAAAAAGGAGGAGCTTAGCAATCCGAATGTTTTTATGTATGTTCGGGCATAACTCCGTCATAGATGGACGGATTTTCAGAATATTTTTTTGTTCGAAAGGGATTTATTCCAACATGGTCCCATTTAAATTTCAATCTAGATGTGATGATGAGGTTTGAACACAAAGAACGGCACTCTTCTAAAAATGACGGCATATCAGCCGCCATTGCTGCTAGTTTTTTTAGTGCTCTTAGTTAATATTGCTTGAAGTCCGATAATTTTCCTTTTAAAAAGTATTTATTCATCTTTTTCTTTTTATTTTTTTAGGCTCATTCCCACATTCAAACTGAAGCGGCGTGAATGTTTGTTTTTTTTAATTAAATTCAGAAATTTGATTACAGAGTACGAGTTTTTAGCCTAAACCAAAATTTAAATAAACGGTCTAACGCAATTGAGAGCTAACTGTGTACTCGTATTCAGATAAAGCTCTCCCTTTAATAAAGGTAATGTGAAATACTTAGGCCTGCACTTGTGGATTTTCATTAACTTAGCTCTGCACTGGACTTTAATCGACTAAGTTATTAAAAAACATGGGCCTTTAATTAAATGTCAGAAGGTTAATTTTGCTTAAAGATTTCATTTCATTACTCTATACTAAATTTAATTAGTCTCATTGCTGCTGCGTAAATGGAATATTAGATTTTTATAAAGCAACGTTGCTTATGCAATTTTTGACATGATACTGTTTGTATGTAAGTTTTTACTCGTACGTTATTCTATTTGAGACCGTGTACCCCTTAGAAGTAAATGTACAACAAATTAATGCGATAAAACAGGGATAATCGCAATAATCATTTTAATAAAGTAAAAAGGTGTTGTATTTTTGATTATTCGATGGTTTGATCGGGTACCATCTGTCCTGATCAAGAATAATTATCGCGGATAGATCTCCATTTACACATTCATAATGTTTAATCACAAAAGTTAGAAAACAAATTTAGTGGGCCAATGGACTTACATGAAATTCTTATGAAGGCACTATACTACTTTATATTATTTCAAACTTTTTGCAAGAAAATACCAGACAAAAATCAACATACCGATCTATAATTATATAAAAGTACGTTCATTATTTAAATAATAATCATCACAACAAGCAAAATGTTTTGTTCGTCTAAATAAATGGTCATAATATTTTCATCCATCGTTGAACCAAGAAAATGGATCGTTACACACTGCCCTATAAAGACCCTAATAATGTCTAATTCACAATCATGACCGAAACAAAACGCAATCTCCAGAGACGAATTGTTCAATTTATTCCCTTTCAGTAAACGACTCACTGAGAAACAAAACTAATATTAATAATGTCGACTAAACAACACGACATGAGTAATATGTGCTCTGTTCTGTTTTCAAACTGAGTATAAAACTGTTGGTCTCCGGAGACGTATAGCTTTTTATTCAGGTTTATACTCTAGAGTAACTTATATAGTAAACTTTACCTTACATAGAACATTAATATGTAAAAAGACCTTGGCATAAAAGATACTAAATATCTTAGGAACAAAGACAAACGACGTACAAAAACAACAATCTCGAAAAAAATCAGAAACTTCCATTTATTTAAGTGAGTTACACATGAGTAACACCCGCTAAGTAATATGTTGACAAGGATAAGCTTTTGTCAATAGGATTACTGGATAGGATTCGAACCCGCAACCGCTTACAGTAAGTTCTATATACTTAATACTATCATACCTTTTAAAATAAACATCTTTTTCACTATATCAGTACAAATTAATAAACAGCTTTATTATAAACTAAATAACCTAATAACTATGGACATTAAAAACCAAACCGACGTAAAAGTCAAATGGTGCTTACAATCCGGCTTAAATTTTCAATCTAGTTTAGTGTTTAAAATAAATTCATCAAAAATAGAGAAAAGCTTTACATAAAGTTTCAAAAAATATAAAACATTTTAATCAACATAAAATTAAGCCTGCTCTGCTTATAAGCCTACCCAAGGCTAATCTTTTTCTATAAGAAAGTATTGATTTTTAAATAAAAATATTGAAGATAATTCCGTTTTCATGATATAATGAAACCAGCTTTCGTTAGTGTCAATTTAATTCTTATTTAGATACTTAAGACTGATATCATTGGAATAGCTTTAAATAAGCTTTAACAGACTTTCAGAGTTTTTATTCAGAGTCAATTCGACGAGTCTGTACAGGTTATGTATTGTACAACTGGCAATCGTATTAAATATACTATAAGAATAGAGACCGCAGAACCATTAGAAATTTTTATTACTAGTTTACAGTTGGTGGATTAGTAAAATTTTCGATTATCTATCAATCTTTTAGTTTTGCTAGTATCGAGAGAAAATACACTATTTCCCGGTATCGACTTTAAATATCACTGTGATTACTCATAGTTATTTATGGGATTAGATTGTTGCTGGTATGTATCTGGTATGTATGGTGTCGAGAGGAATCTACGAGCCGGCGTCGCATAAATGCTATGCTAAAAATTTAACGGGTTAAGATAAATAATGTTAATAATAATATCTCACATATCTCACCGCCTGATCAGAAACTAGGCAGAGCCTGTACTATGGTATTCAGACTGCTGATAATACAGAATACAGACTGTCACCAACCCTATTCATCCCGTAAGTTTCGTAAGAGCTGACTAAGGGAGCAAACTATGCAAGACAACAGCAACGAAAGGAGAAGGGAAACTTGAATTAAGCCCTATACGAACCCTTTTGGCCAGCGTGGTATACGAGTAGTAAGCCAAAACCTTCTTTCTTAAGAGAGGCCTATGCCCAGCAGTGAACTATTAGAGGCTGTTGTTGTTGTGTGACAATAATGATGATGAAACGTCACACAAATATATCTTTAACGTGGGAGAGCCATGCCAGAACGTTATTAAGGCGTCATGGAAAACCTGTGTTAATCCAGGTAATACCTATCTGCTCCTAAAAGTTCCGACATGAATATATATCCATGTTGTACGTGTATGCACAATATATGTTTTTCTTATATATAGTTATATTATCAATGTATTTCAACCCAAACTCAACTCTCGTGTAAACGGGGCCAATATATGTAAACACTTACATACAGCGATGTCGGTAATGGTAACGGTAATTGTGCCTCGAGTTGAATGGTTTCTCCCATCTCAAAAAATGTGGTTTTGTTTGTTTAAAAAAAATGCCAAACACGCCTAAAGAAGTTTTCAATTCAAAAACTACAAAGATACTAGTAAAGTATACTCCTATTATCAAAGATCCAAACCCACAACTCAAGAATTCTAGTGTGGCTATACCATAAATTATAAACATATTCTTACCTGATAGCAATCCGATGCCAACGAAAATCATACAAAGGTACAGCTAAGTAAATGGACCGGGAGCTTCCTGACCCAGCGTGGACTAATCTAGCAGCTCCTCGACCAGCCAGCTCCAGGGACAAAAAGGACCCGGTTCGTCGCCGCGAGCGTAGGGAGAATAATGTACCTTGACCGTATCCGCCACTCTGTGAACATGAAACTTTGTTATTAAAGGTATCCTCGTAAAATGTATTTTATTACAGAATTGTGTTACATCACACCAACACGAATTTCTTATTTCTAACAATGATTACAGTTATGTTATACAGAATGTTTTTCACATTTGTTTTTTGGACAGAGGCGTATAAAACTAACGAAAATTGATTGTTTACGTAAATGATAGCAAGTGGCTAAATCTGTATTTAGTACAAATATTGCAGAACTTTTTTCAGAAGTGTTGATGACACCGGTATTTTCTAAATATCAAAGATCTATATCTAAATAAAAATCATTTTTTTATTGACATGAATTCAATGAATGACAATGAAATAATTTGTGTGGAAATCCCTATCGGTCAATCATTTCACCAGAGATGAGCATAAAGTTCGGACCGACTTACAACACACGGTGAATTCATAAGTGGGAGATGAACAGTGGTACCCTTAATAAGAAGCCCTCAAGAACCCTCGCAGGCCATGACCGACTGATGGGCAATTGATCACATCATGTATTTCGGAGGGCTTTATTCCCCTCTAGATCAGAGACGCATACGGAAGACATCACAGCACCTTTTTCGGTTCTGATTTAGCAAGAGTAACGGTTACCTCAATCCGCTATCGCCAGGCTAAAGTTTATTAATACAATAAACAAAATCAAATACCTAAAACTTCAAAAAATAAATAAATTATGTAAACCTCCATTCAAGAAAATAATATTATCACTCTCTCTATCTAATATTATTATCTCTCTCATTATATAATATAAAATGTAAATCCTATTTCTTTAAGACAGTCATAATAGGCGAAAGTAAATATAACTAATGAAATTAAATAAATTTAGACAAAATTGAGTATACAAACTTGTTCATGAACCTTACTAACGAACCTCGGTAAATAAAATATTCAACTTCAAACTAAACAATAAAAGCCAAATAAATGCTTAAACACGTTTGCAAAATTTTGAAAGCGTAGGACTGTTATTACATAATTTAATAAGTTAAAATCATATAGCGATGGCCTTATTGTGTAAATTTATGAATCTACGGAGGGTTGACTGTACTTTTGTCTTATTTATTTAAACGATGATATAGCGATAATAGCAAATACAGTTACGAGTAAAGGCATAAAAACACACATTTTTTAGGAATTCATTGAATAATTAAACACTATACCTAACCCACTATAATAAAATAAAACTAGACTAAGATAAGGGAACAATAAACAGTAAAAAATACCTGGCTTTTAAATGATTAAATACAGCAAAGATCATATTTAATTCATGCTACAGAAGAATACGCTATGATTTATTACTCACCTCTGGCCGCAATCTCAGTGAAATAAAAAGTGTAAATTCTCGCGGGAAGGACTTCCCAGCGCTGAATAGTTCTGAAGAAGCAATCCAGATGTAGGAGTTAGGTCTTAGACTGAAGGCATGCGGCCGGTCTGAGACGGGGCCCCACCTCGCCTGCGCTGGGTGAAAGTTCCTCCTCGCTCCCGGCGCTAGCGGGTTTATTGTGCCTGGTGAATGTAATTATAATGTATACGTACTTTATTGCTGTTTCAGAACACGTGAGTAAAGGCCACATTAAAGAATGGAACGTTATACGTGTAATTTAATAGCTCCTTGTTTATGTTTACAAAGAGAGTGAAAATTTAGGTTTATTCAGAATTTTATTACCTTATAGTATATAAATTTTAATTAACCTATTTTAATTGGATTCATATTGTGTTTGTATTATATAAAGATCTTATAAATAACGTAAAAAAATGAACCTTTCCTAACTTTCGACTTTGAAGTAAGTTAGTTTTAATAGGCGGTTCTATTAAAGCCTATTTACGCAGTGAGCTTGAAATTCCAAGATGATTGCACAAAAATTAATACATCATAATTATTTTAAGACTACGATTATTAATTTCATATTTTTTTAACAAATTTTAGGTAACAAATCGATACAGTTTCAGAATCACAACTTACTTTTATATGATTGTCCATCTTAAATATTTATACATTATTGAAATGGTATTTATCAGTCTTGATTTCAACAACTCTAAGATTTCACATTTGAAGTCTTACTTCTTTTACTTCTAAAATACTTCAAGTATTTTACATTAAAATTTCACAGCAAAAATGTTGTCTACATTGACACACTCGTTAGTACATGTCAATGTTCTATGTCAATCTCTATCAAAAATAATTCTGCTGCTCCAAGCTGTTTCCGAGCTTAAATCACTTTATCAAAATGTCGCCTACATCCTGCATGCAAGATCATAGGAATAGAAATAGTTGGGCAAGTTTTCAAACTATCCATTTCCTACCGTTTCTCGTATGATGTCAGTTAACGTGCTAGTCTGGATATAATTTAAAATCCAATATTCGTTTCAGTTCAGACGCAGAGCGGTTTTCCAGCGATGGGAAGCTATTAACGAAATGTTTGCGTTAACGATTTGTGAGTATATTGAGGTTTGATTAGGAAATGGGAATGCCAGTTTATTGTAATTTAAAGAAATGTTTGAACAAATATCGCTTTAAATTTAATCCAAAATATTTTAAATAGTCAAATGATAGATTTTGAAATTAAAGAGATCTCGCTGAACATTTGATAGATGTATTGAAAATTGAATAAAATTTAAATAGAAGGAGGCGGCTAAATGAAAATTAGGTAAAATTAAATAGTAAAATGATTAAATCATTTTATTTCTAAATAACTTTAGATTCCTAGTTTTAATTACAACTAACCTGCACAGTTGAAGGAGTTGCATGCCCGTTTTTGTTCACCGTACCCCTCGCAAGTAGGCTTCGAGCAGTATCTCCTCCTGGTTTGCTGCCCCCCTCCACAGGTTTTACTGCACGCTCCCCATTCCCCCCATCCCGCCCAACCTGCAATATTGATAGATGAACTCACCTCTAAGGATTATTGCAATAGTTTTACAGAGTTTTGTTTGTTGAGAAAATTCATATCAGCTTTTGTAAAGTTTTGTTCGTTAAGCGCTATAACAAAAAAATTATTACGCTCCTAATTGATGAAATGAAATTCATTACAATGAAATTATTGAACGATTTTCTGTTAAAATATTTACATGCTCGTATTGGTATTCGACTAGAAAATGGAGTTCATTTCTTATTCTTAATAAAATCTAGAGAGACTAACAAAGCTTTCAACCAGACATTGGATAACAATTTTAATCACTTTTTATGATATATTTTATCTTTAATATATCCCAATAGTATACAATTAATAACTATATCATCCAATTCCACTCACCAACAGCATTCCAAATAGCAATATCGACTCCCAAGCTCCAGGGAACGGCTGCTGCTGTAGCCTCTAGCCACGGGCCATCAGGCGGCGTTGTTTCCAGGTCTACTGCAGGGTCACTGATCCTTGCAAAGACTACTAGCTCACTTTGCGAAGGTGTCATACTCCAGTTGAAGCAATCGCCGAGTTGTGGACTGATTTTAAGGTTCACTTGCCTGTGGACAAACATTATGTTACTGTTTAAATTGAATCCGGAATTAACTAGAAATTTAGTTTAGAAATTAAAGTTAAATTATTTTTCCATGTTAATTAACTAAGGCATGATCGACAAACTTGATAAAAACATTAACCTTGTTTAGTTAATTACTAAACTAACGTGGTGCCTATAAAAAAGTTTTCCGTATTTTGTTTTCATAGAGGTTACTAAATCAAAGGTAATGCTATGAAATAACATTTAAAATACATATATTGTCAATTTTTAAAATAAACTGTTGCCTTTAGATTAGTTCCATAATAAAGAATATTTCTTGGATATCTAGTACTGTTATTAATTTTAATTGGATAGTGCTTTAGCACTAGAAACTTTATTTTGATGCTTATATCATATCATTTCGAGAATTGAGTTTACTATAATTCGAGTGCCATATAGAAATTGTACATACATTTAAGACATTAACATTAATTACTCTCGTAAGCTCTTAAACTTAATGTTATCACATATAAAACAGCACACCTTACTTGAACAATGTTAGAAATGAAATGAGAAGAGGTACGATACGAAAGCTTTTCATTCGCAACAATCAAGTTAAAGAAGAAGTCCATTGTTTTATTTATAACATCACTTGGAACTTTTATTTATACTTAACAAGGATAAAAAGTAATCAGGCATGTTTAATATAGATTGTGTTGTATTCATTTATTTAATCATCGCTATCTTCCTGCTCGTTTCTTAATTTGTTGTAGGATGTTATTTCAGGTTTTATTTGGTTGATTTTGACGGTCCTGCTAAGTCGGAGGTCATGGGTTCATTTCCCAAACAAGATAAATATTGTGAAATAAGCAAGATCATTTGTGTGTTTGAGTGCGGTTAATTAATTTACAATAAAAATGTATTTAGAAGTATATGTATTATTATTTAGAAATAAATGTGTTCGGTTGACGGTATTAGGCTTGCTGCTTATTACAAAATGTGAATAAAATTACATTTACCGAAATGAGGAATGAAATCATCCCCTTCTGGTATAAAAGACGTGAGGGTATGTGGGTTGGCTTATTCTATATCAGACTGCATCCTGAGCACCAATTCCCTTTAGAAATATTATTGTAGTCTAAAAGCACCTCTTCATACATTCGACGAGCAAGTGACATGCTATTTCGAAGATGTGAAGTACTTAGCAATTTATAAATGCATTAGGCGGGTAGTTCGTAATACTTAAAATGTACTCAAGGTGCGACATGAGACAAACTGATCCCAGATATTTTTGCTAAGTTTTGGACGATTATATCGATATACGGTATTTTGAAACCAGTACGAACAAATTAGAAAACCGGAATTTCGCTACAAATGTAATAAGTTCTAGTAAAAAGAAATAAATTTATTAGCCCATTCGTTAATGTAAGCTTCAAGTTTTTGTGTAGTCATGCTGTAGTCTCCTGTAACTGAGAGAGTACATCTACATGGCATTATCAATGTCAAATCAATAAATATTCTTGGTTGAAGACTAAAAACAATGCATCATACAATACACAGACAGGTCTGATAGTCTAGTGCTTAGTGATTTTGACTGCTAGCCAGAGGTCATGATTTTTGATTTCCATAGCAAATATTGGGTGATGAGTTGTAAATATTCTTTCTCTATATGTAATCTATGTAATTTATCTATTTGATATGTACGTATTAATAATATACAGGGTTACTGGTTAAGTCGACCTAGATACTTTAGGGGGTTGTAGTTGCCATCATTGCTGATAGATTGCTGAAGTCCGTAACAAATCGGAATGTCAGCATATTCCTTATCCTATTATTATTATCTTCAACAGTGTCCAAAGCACAAAAAGAAGTCCAGTTAGCTATAGTTTGTCATGAATTGAAAATAAAAGGGTCCAAAAATAGAAGCAATGTTCAAGTAATTCCTAAGACTACCGGTCATTCATTTAAGTTTCTTTCCATGAATCCTGATACTATCCTAAACTATTATACCTTGTTACATAGCTGACAATACGTACAGGTTTTTATTGTATCTGCCATTTACTGACACGATATTTTTTTAAATATTGCTCAAAGGAAAAAGAAATGCTATTTCATTTTACTACATACTTCAGCCTAGTTTGGGATTGGATGGCCGTGTGCTAAATATGTTAAGTAACTATATTATTATATTAACATACTAGCGATCTGCCCCGGCTTTGTACAGGTGCAATGTAGATACTACTAATGTGGTGTCACCACCACACCTCACCAACACCTCAGCAACAAGCAGTGGACTGTAATAGTCCACTGCTTTACATAGGCCTCTCCTTAGAAATGAGGTTTTGCCCTACTTTACAGACGGGTTGGTATAGGGTTTGTTTCAAGTTTTTCTTCTCGTTGCAATGCTGTTGCTCCGTATTCTTAATCCGTCACCACACGGAGAATTAATGGTTATTTATACAAATAAATAAAATTGAAATGTCTGTTTGTAATGTCAAAATAATAGGTTTATTTCTTGCTCACACGGTTATGACACATGATTCCTATGCCTAAAACCAGTTTCAATATGTTTTATCTATTTGTTTCGGGTAATCTTCAAAACGGCTGCACCTATGTACATATATTGATAATATCTTACTACGAGGTAGCTATATGTAGTAACTTAGGCTATTTTCCCTCTCAGAAAAACCTTTTAAAAATTTGCCCGGGCTGGGAATCAAACCAGACACAGACGAAGTCGTAGGTACCGGCTAGTCTATGATAAATATATATTGCATATAAACCCGCCTCTTGAATCAATCTTTCTATAGGTGAAAATCGCATTAAAATCTGTTACGTGGGTCGCTAAATCTAAGCGTACGAGAAAAGAAAACGAATTCATTTTATACTATGTAAATAAAAGTCTTGATCTTTATTACCGAACATCCGAGTAGAAGCTTTAATCTGAAAATAACTTAACTGGGATCACTTAAAATGTTCACAAGAGATAAAAAGAACCTCAAAACGATCGATTAGCTTGATAAAATCTACACTAAAGCGCAAAGATGGTATAAAATAAAATAATATTATGGGAGTTTTTTCATTGTTTGGAATTAAAAAATAATGTTTTTATTTATATTATCATAAAACAACGAATGTCTTTCGGTCATACTTGCCTTATTTAAGACCATTCCAACCAATTAAAATTATTGAAATGAGTGAATCGCTTGTGTTGAAATGAAGTTACGAGTCAGATGACAGCAAAGCGATGTTGAATAATAATGTTCATTTCTTCTCTAATTAGTAAGTAATAATTAGTAAGTCGTAGCTTCTGAAACCCTTGTATTGACTTTGATAAATTGTACGAGTAGTTATTTTCACAAGACTTTTATTTTGTATTACATACTTAGTATTTTTTTATATGAACTTCTAGTAAATTTAAACTTTAAAAGTATCGACTCCACCGTAGCCTAAATTGCACTTAGAATCGGTACAAAATATATAAGCTTCTGTTTTTTAAAGTTTAAAAATACAACGGAGTACCGAACTTGTTGTACCGAGCTATTGACTTATTGAGTTTTTATGCACAATTCATGCATAATACCCGTAAGCAGTCTATGATACTATTTTTTGTAGATAGATAGATAAGATTTGTATATGTTTGATTATTATAAAATGAGAAAAATAAATGCCCAAACATTTTACTCAAACACCACTTAAATATTAGACTAAATATAAGAAAGAAGAGTGAAAGAAAACGAAAAGAAAGAAAATTTTATTTATACCAAATAAAATTTTCTTTCTTTCTTTCTTCTTGTCTGTCTTGTCTACCTATGCTTCGACGTACAATTCAATACTGCGTTTTTAACCTGTATAGGAATGCTTATTCCTATACAGTTTAAAAACACAGTATTATTACACAGTAGTATTATTCCTATACAGCCGCTAACGCAGCCGATGGAAAATGATAATGAAATCGAATATTGTGCGTCTATCCTAGAATTAATTCCACTTATGAAGATTTTGGGATTATAATTCGTTAGAAAAAAAGCCGTGTGGTGTCGTGGGACACCCGATAGGAACGAATTTGTGAAGATCGAGTAAAACTGATTCGACACGATTTTAATTACAACGCCATCTATGAAAGCGGCTATTACCTACATATTTTTCAGTTGGTTTCTAATTAAAACAATTTATACATTGGTAAAATCTCCTTGGAAAATGATTTCCTATCTGTTCTATAGATTGCGCTGAATGACTGACAAGTGACAATTCAAAATAAATACTGAGATGAAAAGTAATGATTTCCTATCTATTCGATAGATGGCGCTGAATGACTGACATAAAAAGTGTCGTGAGATTTTTTTCCGTCTAGCCCTCTTTCACAACACGCGGTAAGGAACTTCGTTCCAAAAAAGAGGATTTTTTCAGGAGTGAAAGTATAGAATCTGCGTGTAGTGACCGATGAAGGAATTGAGTGGGTTTGATCTTTTTTTGATATTTGATCATTCTTATTTAAGTAAATCCTATAAAATAATAAACTGAGTTTAGGTGTTATAAAAAGCCGGTATTAAACAACGCTTTTATCATATTTCACCGTGTGAGAGGCGTGCAACGCACTTGGGACTTAAGTTGCAGGTGTCCATGGGCGACTTACAACCAGGGCCTTAATTCTGCTATTTTATGTTGACGCCAAACCACTGTTATTCCATTGACACGCTATTGAGATACCACTCACATCGGTCAAAATATCAGTATTCTACTAACATAAATTCACAGTGTCAATAAACTCTCGATATAGTCATAATATATAGGTCAGCAATGGTGATATCAACAACATTGCCAAACATCTTACAAATTTAAAATGTAGGTTGACATTTCATCGACAGTCCATTGATACAATATTTAAATTGGGAAATAAAGAATTAAGTCCCAGGTAACCCGCCTACTCGTTTGCCCGTGAGGTTAGTGCGTCACCATACGGATGGAAATTCAATATAATTATTATAATTATATTTGAATTTGAATTTGAAGTTAATTGCTAAA